ACTGCGCACTCGCTGCTTTCCAGCGCGGCATCTTTTAAAACAAACAAAACAAAAAATGTCAAGTGTTCAGCACAAAAACAGGGAAGTTCAAAAAAAAAAAACAACGCACAATCATTTTTGGTTGACCCCGTCTGTTCCCGCACTAGTACAGTACGCTTGTATCAAAGACAAGGCAAATAAAAAAAATAACATATTCCGCCTTCAACGCGGTTTTGCCCCGCCCGATCAGGATCGCACGCACATTTAACAGCAGTACCTTTCACGGGATAGTTGGGCAGGTTCCTAACTTCCTACAAGCGAGATTGCAAGTGAATGCTAACGACTTGGCGCAGCTTCTTAACGCTCGCTTGCCGATCCTTGGCTTTGAAGACAGCGCTTCCTGGAACCAGACAATTGGCCCCTGCCGACGAAACGGCTTCAACGGTATCAAGTGTGATACCACCGTCCACCTCAATGTTTAGATAGGGGTACCGTTCACGCAGCTGTCGTACCTTTGCAAGAGTTCCCGGCATAAATTTTTGTCCCGCAAATCCAGGCTCCACCGTCATCACGAGCGCCATGTCCATGGCCTCGCTCTCGATCAGGGGGATAAGTACGTCAATCGGAGTGCGAGGACTGATTGAAACGCCTACCTGCATACCAGCCTCACGAATTTTGCGTGCCAGTGCCATTGGGTCCTTGGCGGTCTCGATCTGGAAGGTGAACTGTGAGGCCCCGGCCTCAGCAAACGGGCGTACCCATTTTTCGGGCTCTCTCACCATAAGATGAACATCCAAAAAGACGTGAGGAAGGCGACGACGCAGCGCAGCCACCGTGTAAGGACTGAAGCACATGTTTAGAGCAAAATGGCCATCAATAATGTCAACGTGCAGCCAGTCAACAGAACCCCCCTCCGGAGACAGCACTTCCAGTGATTCCAGCAGCAGCTGCGTCTGGTCCGCCACCATGAGCGAGGGTGAAATGACGGGGCGGAGAGGCACCTTCTTCCGGCCGGACAAATACGTTGACTTGTCCTGGTGATCAAACTTCTCCATTTGTCCTTTTAGAGCAAAAAATAAATAAAATAAAATAAAATAAAATATAAAATAAAAATTCTTTTGATTTGGCAATGCTATGGGGGAAGAAAAAAAGAGGAGGGAAGCCGCCACAAACAAGGCAGTCCCAGGGGCAAAAAAAAGAAGACTCAACAAGAAAAACAACAACAACAATCTCGACCCCCGGTCACGTAGCTCGGAGAGAACCCCACGACACAACAACAACAGAGTCAAAGCTACTTTTTTTAAAACTTATTTTATTGTCCCACCAATTCCCGCAACTTGCTTATTTGGGGAGGCTTTCAGTGCTGCTCTAAACGCTCGGCCCTCCCTGTCTTCGTCATTCTTCATTCGTATGTTGCTTCCGGACTATATACACAGCACACGCACCCCCTTTTGCTTCTTTTGGTGTGCGCCGGCACCTACTGGGCGGCGCACACATATATATACACACACTTCTTCTTCCCCGGCCTTAGCCAAGAGCAAAAACGAGCCAAAATTACCATGACAAAAAGAGAAAAGGAACTGTTGCTAAAAGTCCAATAAACCCTTGTGTGGCCGGACTCACCTGAAGCGCCTGTGGGCACAGCGATGAAAGCACGGAGTACATGCGATCCATCCAGGAGCCCTCGTGAAGCGCCTCCCTAAGCCGCGGCGCATTGCTCGGCAGGAGTGTCATAGCGTACACCATAAACCCAACGCCCTCGAGAAAGGAAAGAAACACCTCCTTGTACTGCCGCTTTCGGCTCACACTTCGAGTGTCTGTCGCCTCAAACGAAATACGCTGCATCGCCTGCAGGAGTGCGGCACTTGTTACCGCCTTAAACAAGTTGTAGTAGAAAAAAAATATTGGGACCAAACGGGCAGCATACGGCCGCAAAAACTTATTCAATACGCCACCAGCAGCCAAAAGCTGCACCTCCTCACTTGCCAAAAACAGCCCCAAGCAAACCGTCGTTAAAATTCTTGCAATACCAGTAAAAACAACTGGCGACGTCCGCATAGTTCGGCGAATGCCAGGAGGCGACAGCTCTGCCAAGACCACAAGCCAGTCGCACACTCGCGTGACGCATTGGTACTCCGCCAGCAGCCTCGAGAGCGACTTTGCAGAATGTTCAATGGAGCTGTGCCCCGCCCACCCCGCCAACCCACTCAGCAGCAGACTGCAAAACTGGGCGACAGCCGGCACACCATCGCGGCTCCAGATCTTTGAGGGGCAGGAGTGTAGCGATGAAACCTTCATGGATTCTGCTCCTCTCTCTCACACACACGGAGAGGTCAAAAGAGGATGAAAAAAAAAACAAGTAGGTGCGAACACTAACAAGAGCCGCTATCACGCACGCCTACCACAGCCAGAGGGAGGCCAAACAACAAGGATTATATATATATATATCACGCACGAACCCAAAGACAAAAAAAACAAGAAAAAGAAGGAATATGCTCACAGCGCTCAAGAGCAAAAGCAAGCAACTACCCACCACACACCGAAAAAAAAGACAAATAAACCCAACACCAACAGTGAAATCCGTTAAACAACAAGAAACACAAGTTTGAATGGGCTCACTTGCTTCACGCGCACCTGCAGGCAGCGCTGCATAGAGAAAAGTAGGGGAAAAAAAAACATGAAAAACAAAACAACACCAAACATGCAATCCCTTAAATTGTAGCTGATACAAGCCGTCACTCACGAAAGCGCTCCAGGACCAAGGCCGTCATCCTCCGCTCACACTGCCACGACCGCACTTCCAGGACAAATTCCTCCGAAAAAAAAAAAGGGAGAGGCAAAAAAAAAAAAACACCAATCAAAAGAAAACGCTTCTTCAATCGGCAAAACGAGATGTTGCACCGCATATCCATTTTTCTATTATT